AGGGAGAGGATGAGATGGAAAAGAAAGAACACTCCTGGGTCAAGATAAAGGCAGTTTAATAAAAAAGCAAAAGCAAAGGTCGCGCATGGTAGCAAAAGGAAAACAAGATTTTATTCTCTACTTCCCAGTAGCAGGCAATCCCCAGCCACTTCCTGGGAAGCAGGGCTTCAGTATGCATAGTTGTTGCTCCAGAAGACAGAATGTCCTAAAAGATGAATGACCCCCTCCTCTTCCTTTTCCCTTGGTTTTTATATCTGAGCTGATGTCGTATGGTATGGAATATCCCTTTGGTTGGTTTGAGTCAGGTGTCTTGGTTACATCACCTCACAAGATCTTACCCCCTTCCAACCCACTGGTGGCGGGGGGGAGAATGTTGGAGACACAGCCTTGATGCTATTCAAGCACTGCTCAGCAGTAGCCAAAACATTGGTGTGTGATCAATCCCTTTCTACATACCAATAGAAAGCACAGCACTATGCAGCTTGACCCAATACACTTCTGGCAAGCTTCCAGTAAGCTGTAGCAGCTTCTAATGACCTTTGTCAGCTGCCCTTGATCAAAGGGTCTGTGTGGGATAGAGTTAGAAAGTTGCTTCCTAGTAACCCCTGATGGTGCTGTGTTTTGCATTTGTGGCCAAACCAGCACGGGTAACACACCAATGTTTTGGCTATCACTGAACAGTGCTCACACATCATCAAGGTTTTCTCTTTTCCCCCACCCCAAAAAGCCAGAAGGCTAGGGCATGGGCAAAGAGAATGGGAGGGGGACACAGCTGGGACAGCTGATGCAAACTGTTCAAGGGGATATTGTATCCCATGTAACATCATGTTCAGCAATAAAAGCTCAGAGAAAAGAGGAAGAAGGGCACATTTGGAATTATGGTGTTTGTCTTCCCAAGCAACCACCATATGTCCTGGGGCCCTGCTTTGCAGGCAGTGGCTGGACATCTGCATACCAATGGGAAGCAATGACTGACTTTCTCTTTTTGCTTTGACTAGGCACACACTTGGTTTTCCTAATTAAACTGTAGTTATTTCTATTCATGAGTATTTTTGCTTTCCTTTTATTTTCTCCACACCCTATGGGAGAGCGGAGTGAGTGAGAGGTAGAGTGAGTGTTTATCAGCTGGCCGGGGTCCACCCACCACACAGTGGAACCTGCAGTAACCAACCAGTTGGAGAAGACACACAGGAAGGTGCCCTGAGTCAGCCAATGCGTGGGTGCCAAGGTGTGTGGGAGAATTTAGGCAGGTGTAGACCAGTTTTCACTTCCAATGGCCTGGGAGCTGCTGCCTGAACAGATATGTAATCTGAAATGGCAGATCATATGAACGAAGGATGTCTTCTCTATACCAGAAACAGATGGTGAATTCTAATGCTGAAAGGTAGAAGTCCTCTTCCTTCTGAAAACTGGTTTTGGCATAAAAAAAACCAAGGTCAAAGCACCTCTAGTTTTGGGGAATAAAATAGCAAAATGGGTATTCACAGAACCACAGAACGGCAAGGGTTGGAAGGGCCCTCCAGAGATCATTCAGTCCAACACCCCTGCTAAAGCAGGGTCACCAAGAGCAGGTTGCACAGGATATCATCCAGGCGGGCTTTGAATATCTCCAGAGAAGGAGACTCCACAGACTCCTGGACAGCCTGTGCCAGGGCTCTGTCACCCTCAAGGTAAGGAAGTTCTTTCTCATATTCACCTGAAGCCTCTTATGTTTCAGTTTGTATCCATTGTCCCTTGTCCTGTCATTGGGCACCACTGAGAAAAGTCTGGATCCATCCTTGTGACATCCACCCTTAAGATATTTGTAAGTATTTGAGATCCCCTCTCAGTCTTCTCTTCTTCAGGCTAGGCAAGCCCAGCTCTTGCAGCCTTTCTTCATAGGGGAGATGCTCCAGTCCCCTCATTATCTTTGTTGCCCTCCTCTGGACTCTCTCTAGGAGTTCCTCACAGAATCACAGAATCGCAAGGGTTGGAAGGGACCTTGGGAGATCATCTAGTCCAAC